TATATATATATATATATATATCCGTTCTTTTATTATATATGTATATATATTATATATGTGCATGCATGTATATATAAAGTTGGTTATATATAAACAACTGTATATATAATTTCTCTTCTTTTTTTTCTTGCATGCATGCATGCATGAATGCATGCACAACTTATATATATATATATAAGGCAGCGTAGGACTGCGGTTAGCTGCTATGCATATAAACAATTTAATTAATTAATTAATTAATTAATTAATTAATTAATTAATTAATTAATTAATTAAACGCTTTATTTCCTCTTTTTTGTATTTATAAGGGATAAATATATGAATAAGAATAAGGAGTTAAATAGGGAAAAGGGAGAAAAATAAATAAAAAAAAGAAGAGGTATAAATATTCATATAATATATTATAGATACAGACTATTTAATGAATTTCTTTCTTCTTTTTCTCTGTATTTATTCTTTTTTTATTTAGTTGCTTATTTATTTAGTATTAATAAACACACACACACCTATCCGCTGACTAAGGGAAGAAAGAAGGAACAAAAAAATTAAGAAAATAAATATCCTAATGTCTTTTCCTCGTTACTACTAGGCATCTTTGCAAATGTGTTGCTGCTGCTGCTGCTGCTGCTGCTGCTCCTGCTGCTGCTGCTCCTGCTGCTGCTGCTGCTGCTGCGGCAGCAGCATCAGCAGCCTTTTCTTTCCCTCTGCCTACACACAACGAACTCTATTCAATCTTTTGTCTATTAGGTCCTTACCTGTCTGTTTGTCTCTAAGTAAATAACATTATACAACCTAATATGTTTGTTTTCTTATAAAAAAGAGTAATTTAATAGCAGGAAATAGATACAATAAGCAGCAGCAAAAACAAGAAAAAAGCAAATAACTACGCCTCTTGTATATTAGGCAATAGAGACGCGTCAACTAGGGAAGACAGTTGGCTCCTCCTTCTCCTATTATTATTATTAAATATGTTTATAGGAATAAAAAGGAAGAAATTAAGAGTTAATAATACAACAAAGTTATAGGGAAACAACAACATACTAAGGAATGCAACTGTGTGCAAAACTTTCCTTTTATCCTCCTATACGGTGGCAAGCACGTCGCAATTGATTATATTATGTTATAGAGCTAATAAGTGACTATTTAGCAAATAAAACAATAAAAAATATTATTATTATTCTTAAAAACAGAAAAGAATGCTTTCTTGTGCATGCATGCAGGGCTTTTTCGCCTGTTGTGTTGCCGTGCGTGGTCTGCACTGTGAGCTGCTGCAGCGCAGCAGCAGACTCCATAGGACAATTCAGCAAGGAATCCATCAAATAGGGAACTTTTTGAGGATTTGTTTGTATGAATAATTAATTATTTGTCTTATTTAATTCAATTAAATGCCTGAATACTCCTTATATAAGATCAAGGTGTCACGCCCTTCTCGAGCGCTGTTGTCGTGTAGTGTGTGACACTATTCGTATCTACGATCTATTGCGACAAGAGGGGCGGGAGGAATTATAAAGGTGAAAAGAATTAAAATAAGAATTCCTTTAAATAAATTTAAAACATTTATTCCTTTTTAATCCGTAAAATACAAAAAAATGAGACAAATTTGCTGTTGGTGCACGCCGAGACAACCTGTCGTATATATGGTGCAGCTTTCACCCCCCCTTAGTATACTATATATAGTGAATATATGGAGATAGCGCTGTATAAAGGCAAGAAGAAATTGTCTTACTATAAAATAATAAGAAATAAAAGTATAAAGCATCAAAGTTTTATTAAATAGACAGCGTATAAGTAAGAGAAGGTAAGGGTACCACCATCTTGTCACACAACACGGCGCTCAAATAGATACCCAAGCAATGGTTAATCAGTGATGTTAGACACGAAAATCGGTGGGGGAAAGTTTTAATCCCTCATTTAAATTAATGAATTATAGATTATAAAGAATAAAAATGGGAAATTAGAGAATAAAATGTTTATTTTATGGTGTTTTCTTTGGATTAGCACAGTGCAGAGTAGAGCCAACAACAGCACACGACGACACCACACAGCCGCCGCTTCATTCAACAAGGAGATGCAAGATGATAGGATTGGCTTATCAGCACAACATCAAGCCTTGCAGTGTATGTCTTAATAGCGCATTTTTTCTAACAATTTGATTAATATTCTTTTTACGATTATTTCTTTTGCATTAAAATGCTACAATACAATTAAAGAAGCGAATCTGCAGCTGTCTTTGTCGTCGCGTCGATTGCCTCCCTCTTGTAAGGAAGGGATCGGCCGTCGGCCGCCTTATCGTGCAGAAGGATGTGCTTTGTTTCCTTGTACTTTGTTTCCTTTTATTTAATTCATCTAAAGTGACTCTTTTTGCTGCTTTGCAGCAAATAAACAAACAAAATAAGGGAACATCTTTGGTGTAAGAGAAGCCACGTCTTCTTCCTATGTTGCTGCTGGCAGTTTGTAGCAAGCAGTATATTATCCTTGCTGCTTCCTATAAGAATTTCTTCTTTTCTTGTCTTGTATAAGGAGAGTGGCTGTATCATCTGCTTCTTCTTTTTTCCTGCCAATTCCTTTTTTCTCTACTTTCTCTCTCTTCCGTTACTAATTATTGGAGCCTTTTTCCGTCTGTAATACCTTTATCCTCGTGTCGATCAGTCGCCGCATTAGCAGCAGCACGTGCTGCTGTTATTGTTGCTTCCTCTTTTTTCCTCTATTGATCTAATTGAGTCAATAAAGGAATATAATTAACGAGAGGAAGACAATTTAAGGAGTAAGAGACGCAACACAAAAGGAGAAAACAAACACAATGGAAGACACCCCTGAAGGCTATAAGCCTTCGAGTACAGACACCCCCCCCCCAAGGAGAGAGGCAATACATCCTATCGTTCATCATGAATATTCCTCTTCTTATCTTATTTCTAGGGGGAAGAGGGGCAGCAGGAAATTTCTACCATGGGGGGCGGTTATATCCATTTCTACAGCTGCCGTTCTTGCCTTTCTCATGTTAAAGTGCTTCAATTCACTAGGTCTTGAGGCAGCTAACCAAGATATTTGGTCTTTGGGGGGCCCCTGGGGGGCCCCTAGGAGGTTGGCAGGGGGAGGAGGGCACTCCGAATTGCCATCAGGATGCAACTATGGAGAGGGCGATGAGGCGATGGATACTTCCCCTGATCCTGAAGGTGAAGCAGCTCCCATGGAGACAGAAGGAGCAACCGGAGTACAAGGAGATGCAGCAACAGCAGCAGCAGCAACAGCAGCCGGAGTTGAAACAGGAGCATCTGGAGGTGGAGGACTACAACAACAACAACGAGGCCAAGGAAGAGCAGCACCATTAGCAACATTCGATGGTGGCCTAGAACAGGGCTTTGAAGATATAAATGACGAATTAGAAGAATTAGCAGAAGAATTACAAGACGATGAAAACTTTGATGGCGTCTTTCTTTCACCAATTTCATCATCTGATGATTGGTCTGATGATTGGGGTTCTCTTGGCAGTGCGTCGGATGATGAAGGACGTGACGAATTGACTTCAGGAACAAGAGAAACCCAATCTCCATCACGACACTCTCCCGTGCCATCAACGTCTTATGCACCTGTCGATAGTGGTGAAGGACACTCCAAAACCTCCACACCCAGCATTGTGCCGCCAGCACGAGGAGGTCCTGATGAGGGAGCAGCAGGCGCAGCTGCTCCTGATGCTTCTCATGATGCACCTGCTGATTACCCACCGCACCCGTCTACCTCTTCGAGCGAGGGAAGTGGTGTTACATATGATGAAGAGAAATGGGTACCAGAGTTCAGTGCAGGATCAGGAGAGAAGGTACCGATGATATGGTTAGGACCTGGCAAAACATCTGTACCTCCTCAGGATATTCAACAGGCTTTGGCTGCTGCTCTGAAATCTTCTGCTTCCGGTGAAGGCGTTACATATGATGATGAGAAATGGGTACCAGAGTACAGTTCAGGATCAGGAGAGAAGGTACCGATGATATGGTTAGGACCTGGCAAAACATCTGTACCTC